ATCGTCTTTGACCAACTGCTCAAAACGTCTCGTGACTTTGTCGTCAACGTTACCCCTGTGGAGGAGACGTGGCTCCGGGAAATGATTTCAACAGGAGCTCTCAAGTATGACTTGGAGAACCTATTGTCGACTGTGTTGACCGAAATGGCATTGCCATGCAGTCCAGAACTTATGAAATTGACGTTTGGAGGTTACGGAAGAAAAAAAGTTGATCAAATTGAGAACAAAGTTTCGAAGTCATGCGATGACAGCTTGGTTGTGTTAGAGGAGGACAAAAAGTGGGGACAAATAAAAATCTTCGTTCCTCCAAGGTACACAGTGAAAGCTCTGTCAATGATGGGAAGTATCATGGAGGAAAGCAGAAAGATACTGAGGAGTGAGGAAAGAGAAGAGCCACTGAGGGAAGAGTCCCCAGGAAGTAGAATGGTTTGGGGACAAGGCGGTGAAATACGGGAGTTGCTGATGCTGGACATGTACAGGACTGTCACAGTTGGTGAGATAGAAGATGGCTACTCAGCGGCTGTTTTAGACCACCTTGGATCCTTCGGAGACATAGTGAAACATAGTTTTAGGGAGCAGAACGGCAAGATGCGAGTCTTTGTGACTTTTAGGGATTCACAGGATGCGCTTATGGCAGTGAACAGCCCTTCCAATTCCTGTTTAGATATCAACATAAAAGTCCAGCCGAGTAACTCGACAGGCGATGGTAACCAAACACGTTTTTCTCAGTTTAAAGTGAAAGTTAAGTGGCTCAGACGTCCAGGCAAAGGCACAGGATCAGTACAATTCGTCAATGGCGAAGACTTCTTTTACACGCTCGGAAGAATACCCTCGCTGATTATTAAATCCAAAAGGGTGATATTTAAAGCCGACAAAATTCACAATCAACAGATATTCATGAGAGGACTCCACCCTGAAACATCAGAGGAGGATGTGATATCTGCTATCGAAGAGAAGCTTCCCACAGTAAAAGTGATGAAAGTTTTCATCCACCGAATAGCAGAGTTTGAAACAGCGGATGAGACTCTTGTAGTACAGAAGACTTTCTTAGAAGAAAGTCTCAGCGGCTTTGCCGTACAAGGTGATTTCTCAGTCTACGTAGGAAAACCTTCCACGAAATCTTTTGAGGGATACGCCAACCTGACGTTCCAAAACCCCGAGGAGGGTGAAGCCGCCATAAGAGGTCTTAATGGAATGAACATCCCAGGCATTGGTGTGGTAACCCTGCATCCCAACCTTTCAACTGTGTTGTCATGTGCCAGAAATGTTTACGCAGTCATAGAGGATGAGTTCAAAGAAACTATCAGCGAGTTGGAATCAACCTTTGAAGCAAGTTTGATCATTAAGGTAAAAAAAAAACTCACAGATCAGCGTGTTTGGATAGAAATTCAAAGTAAGTCTACGAAACACTTCATATCTGCTACCACTGTTCTCACCGAAATTTTCAATGGGGATAAAATTGACTGCAAGATTTCTAAAGACCTGGAGATTCTTTTGACTAACTCAGCGAAAGACGTTCTTCGAACAATTCAGAAAGACACTGGAACTGTAATCAGTCAAGATTGGAAGAACCGGGCTGTTAGAATTCATGGACCCGAAGCCAACCGAGAATCAGCAAAACGAGCTATAAACAAGTTTCTCGATGATTCCATCACTGGCAATCGCCACTCTTGGCAGATTCAACTTCGAGGACCAAACAAGCCCCGCGGACTGCTGAAAGCTCTGTTTAAAAGGTTTGGCGCCAATCTTCAAGGATTACGAGACATTAAGGGTGTCCAGAAGATCCATGTTGAATTTAGAAACCACGTACTCAAGATAGAGAGTTCAGATGAGGCTGAAGAACTAATCAACAGCTCTGTGGAGGAATGCTGCAAAAATCTTTCCCAAGAATTGTTTCCTTTGCAACAAGACCATCGAACACAGTTAATCTGTGGTATATGCCTATGCGACTTGGATTCTACAGCAGATGTATACAGACTTGCCTGCTGCGGTCACGCGTACGACAAGAGCTGTGTTATACAACAACTCAAATCTCCAGACTTTCCGTTGAAGTGTGTCGTGGAACAGTGTGGAGAGCGTCTTGTATGGAAGGATTTGCAAAACTTGTTGAATGACCGCGAAAGGAAGAGGCTCGCTTTGACCGCTCTAGATGAGTATGTCAAAAGAAATCCTGAAATTGTGAAGTACTGTCCAACGGCGAACTGTGGCATGGTATACCGCGTCTCAACTAATGGGAGATCCTTCACCTGTGATGCATGTCTGGCTCAGACCTGCACATCTTGTCACGTGCAATGGCACGATGGGCTCACTTGCGCCATGTTCAAATCAGAGAGACAAGTAGAGGGACGTCTCGTGGAGTGGATGATGAAGGACCCAAGCAATAGAAAGAAATGTCCTAAATGCAAGACACCGATTGAGAAGAATCAGGGATGTAATCACATGGAGTGCTCACAGTGTAGAAGCCACATGTGTTGGCTGTGCCTGCAGGTGTTTCCAACCGGGAACGATGTGTACGATCATCAACGACACTGTCCCAATAAGACTGCAGCATGAGTTCAATACTGCCTGTAGAGACATACCCTCAATAATAAAAGTCATAGGTTGATGTGCTAATGTAACTAATGTTTTGAACTTTGTCCGTTGAGGACAATAGTTTAGATGGCTTTTAAATTTCCGAAGCATAGCGAAAATGGACAAGTTTCGATTAACAGGAAGGGTAAAGTAGAAAATGACACTTAAGTAACTAACGTGTAAGCAAATGAGTTAAGAATGTTTGAAGATTTTAATAATCCTGCCATCAAAACCCGTCTGACCAAAAAAACCTGTCTATGTTTTTTTGAGAGCGATGTAGCTCACTGTACCCACAATGTTTAGGTAGCATCCCACTTAGTGCTTTTCCCTCAATAAAGTGCAGCTTTATTGTTTACCTTTAAATTTCAAGTTGTTGATAACTAAAATGGTTTCCTCGTCAAGCTCTTTTTTCCCTTAAAGTACAACTGATTTACTATCGCTATTAGCTGGATGAATTGCAACCAAGCAAAAATTATCAGCGTCATATGAATACATTTTGTAAACAGACGTTTTCAGTAACACAAATATTCGTCTAGATATATGCAGGTAATTTTATCGGTCTTGTACCCACCATGACAATTAAATAAAAACTTTGTCAAGAAGGTGAATTTCGTTTCTCATGAAAATGATTTTTAACTAGTTTTTCAATCACTAAAGTCATCAGCAGTAAGTAGGGTGGCCTGAGCCTGGAGGGTATGGGGAGGGTGAGAGGATTTTATTGAATGGGGTCACATGGTCTTCAAGAGGATGGGAGGAGGTATCAGTCGTCGCCAACATAGTACAAATGGGAGCTATAAAAAAACTGACTGCCAATTAAATTCCAATGAGGATGGGATTATCAGCAAAATCTTACTGCGACGCAAACAAAATCCTCCGCTCCGATCCTCCCACCCCAAAAAAAAAACACGAATACAATATACCAAAATAAAACAAAACAAACCAGACGATACATAACGAACCGTCTCTGAATGGATAAAAATTGCATAATATTAACCATCATTTGTGAGACACTCATAAACCCAAAGTGATAATCACGTTATAGCTTTGTTGGCCAGAATCAAGGATCCTTCAGATCATTTCCTCAGTCGGGACTAGCTCCTGTTTAGAAATAGGTAGCGGTGTCTGTCCAGTCATTTAATTTATTTCTCTTTCAAGAATGCAGCCTCGTTATCAAAATCTCGACTATTTAATTCTGTACGTTTTCAGTGTTTTATTAAACGGTTTCCCTTTTGGTTGAAAGTTTTGTTAAATACAGCAGAATATACTGGAAATATTGTGCCATCCATAGCAAAATAACGCAATAGAATTAAGTATTAAAAATACATCATCCAATAGGCCAGTGACTAGAACAGGAATAAGATCCATCGTGGGCTTACTTTTTAAAACCACATTTTAAACCTTTCACAAAGTTTACTTTGGTTGAGAAATGTGATGTAATTCGATGAAGTCAAAACACCACTACTGCATGTAAAGTTTGGAAAACTGCTCAAAATTGTTGACCTTGCGTAAGTGAGACCTGACATAACCCGACCAGTTAAAGAAAGAATGCTCTTTACTGATGAGTGATTATAAGTTTCTCGTTCGTGATGATTCTTGAAGAAATGGCTTTGATTTCCCACACGTATTTGATCGTATTTGTTTATGGAGTTAGGTCGCCCCCTGGTTGGAACTTCGAAAATTGAATCATTTCTGTGAAAAATTCGATAAAGAAAAAGCTTACAAAATCCTTTTAGTCAAAAAAGCATTTGATTAGGTGCAAGCGAGGGTAAAATAAGATGGCAAACAGCCGTAAACAATAGGTTTTCCTTAATTTGGGAGTCTTAAATATGCTGTGTTCCAAGATACAGATGTCCCCTATGTTCCATAGTTCAATACCACAACAGAACATGAACCGAAATTTAGATCAACCTTTGTGAGAGACCGCGGAAGCCTGACATTTGGTACAGCCGACCGTTTCTTTTTATTTAAAGTTACTCGAGTGAGTGTTTGTCACAGCAGAGGGGTAGGACAGTTCAAGACTAAGGTTAGTGTTGGGTGACAAATTGTGCCTTGCGTCTTTCAAATTTGCTGAGAATGTTCTATGGAAAATTATGGAAAGGAAGAATTTTTTTCGTGTAATCTCGCTTAGGCGACTAAAAAAACGGTTCCATCTTTAGTCGATCAATTGCATCAAACAGTGTTGTCACAGATAAACAGAAAATAAGCCTAAGTTCAGGCCCACAGGTCATTGGGTTGTTAACAATTAACAGAAAATATTAAACCAATGGAGGTATCCGTTATAACACCGTCAGATGTCTTTCAAAACTTCCAGTTTAGTGAAAAGAAAGACTGTGACCCGAAGTTTATGATTCGGAACGAGAAGTTACTCTTCTCTTTTTTGGACAAAAAAGAGTAAAGAGGCCAGACTTTTGGGTTTGATCATCAGTCACCTCGATAATTGACTGATTTTTTTTTTTTTTGCTTATTTGTTTGATTAGTTGTATTTCTTCCCATTACTGAAGTTTGAGCCTGACACTTATGAAGAGAAATACAAGAACAAGAACGAAACAAAACTTTCCAAGTTTTAAGTGGCGCTCTTTTTCTTTGCTTGTATGGTTTTCAAACTAATTGCTTGTTTCATCAATAAATCAGCTCGAGAGAATATTGTGTCTTCAGGTTATGGCAAACTCGCGATTAGCTGCCATTATCAACTAACGTGCGACAGGAATAAAAATTGTTTGAAATTGGATGATTGTGTGACGTTGAGTTGGACGTGATGCAAGTGGCGTCTTTTTGGTCAATTCTCGCGGGTAACAGTAGCGTAGTTGAGCTCCGCTCACAAGCTCCAAAAATGGAACACAAGAAAAAGCGATTTCACGATCTAGTGCTCTTCCAAAAATGAACCTTCAGTCTGAAAAGTTGGTGAGATAGGTCATGTTAATAATGTCAGTTTTGGAGAGATCATCGTTTCAATTTGTCGATCTGGGTTCTCCTCCGGTTTCGACAGAATTTTTTTGTTTTTAACCGTGAGTTTGTTGAACAACTGAGATTCTCCAGAGGAATGGGAAAAATTTTTTTTGTTTGTTTTCAAGTTCCTGTGAAAGCGGGAGTTGGTGCGGGGGAACCAGCGGACTGATGAGCAGACTGTGAAACACAACCATTTCGAATTTGAGTTGAATTTTGGTTATGACAACTTTTTGGGTCATCTCAAAATTAGCTTGTAGAGAAGCGCTTTTTCTTTGCGTTCTGCAATCGAACGGAGGCAGGCACGAGGCGGCGCTAGGCGCGAGTCAAGCGCGTGAATCGCGCTCGCCTGAAGCTTGTCTCCGTTCGCCTGTAAAACTCGAAAAAATTACGCCTGTTCGGCAAGCTAATTTAAAAACATCTTTTTTCTGTAGAGAAAGGTGTTTTTCGTCATGTCACGAACGTGTGAGTCTCCATGAGGAATCGAACCTCAGAGCTCCGATACTCTACCACTGAGCCACAGAGACTCTTCTGTGAGCGAGGTTTATTACGAAGTCCAGATGAAACGCGTCCTGCATACTGCTAAGATCAGCAGTGTCGACAGTGTCATTTTTGTAATTAGGATAAGAGAGATGTAAGTTTTGAGCTCGGTAAAGAAATAGAGAATGATGTTTTTCGTCTTGTCACGACCATGGTATAACAATTGTCACGTTCTGCGTGACACTTGTTGTGTGCGCGTGTCTTCGCCAACATACGCCCGAGGAACTGGTAACTACACTAAGGCTTCGCTTGAGGTTTTTTCAAAAAATGGCGCTTAGAATTACGGAACCGTGGATCAGGGAACGTGTCAAGTTAAAACATGATCATTTAGGTATGATGTCTTTAAAGATGCTCCATTTTCTCCATGAAATTGTTTTCTCCCCTTTTTCCACTCTTGATCTTTCGCGAAGTCGTTAGCAATGACGGTTTTCTCCTGATTTGCTCGTGCATTCCAACGGAGTTGTGTCAATGTTTTGTTTGTTCTGTACGTTGCAGGAATGTTGTGGTGCAGTACCTCATAGATTCATCTTAGCTAATATTCATCACCTCCGTATCATGTCAGTCAATCTTTGGTAGTAATAACTGCCTTTGTTTTAGGGATTGTATTGGCAAAGCTTTATGTGAATGTATGAAGGTTTCCTCCAACTTCATTGGGTTTCCGAAACTTGACTTTCGGAGCTCGGGAGCTGCGTTGTAAATTGCTTCTTGAGGTTTTCTAATCCATTTCCTTGCAATCAGATACGACTCTTGGTGAAAGTTCTTTTCATCCTTGCTCTTATTAAGTCATAGAAAATACTGATATGGGCGCCTATTCGAGGAATTACAGTATTTAACCTTTCACCTTAAAGTTGAAAATGTAATTATAGGGTAGAGACGTATGGAGAATCCTTCAAGAATTTATAAGTTTATATTGATGCATCTAAAAGCTTAAGATGTTTTCTGACAGAACTGAGGTTTCTGTTAATTACCTCAATCAACCCCTTTTCCTAAAATCACACCAAACATTTCTGCTCATTAAAATGCTTACAATGGACTTGCCAACTCCCTTGAAACCTTTTGATTCCAAGAAGTGATTAGTCCTTGAAGTTTCCCCTCACGGCAGCATTGTCAAGCAAAGAGGTGATGAGAAAGAGAAAAACATCAATATTATTACAAGGATTATCTCATTTTTCACCTTTTTTATTTTACATGGAAGAAAAACTAGCTCTTTTTGTTAAATTCAGCGACAGTGACATTAAAAAGCTGATCTCAATTGCTGCTCCAGAAATGAAGAGAAAGTCAACAAAAGTTACTTTCAATGGGCAATGCAAAAATTAATGGGAAGGTTATCAAATAACTAAACCACTTTCTGTCTTCTGTTATGTTGGCTAATGATGTCCTTCGCTGGGAGGTTATCCTCAAAATTTCACTTTTGCCCTCAAGGCATTGCTTCTCAGCCTAACCTTCATTTTCTGGACAACATTTCAGCTGTAGACATTATCAGCAAATATACTAGCTGCCAATGTCAGAGTTAATTGGGTTAATTGAGACAAAGTACTTCCTTACTAGAAATTATGGGAAATTTTCTATATTATCCCTTGTATAGATGATGTGAAATCTCTCTCACTTCCTGGTGCATATAATGAGAAGATTTCATCCCTGGGTACAGCTCTTCATGGATTCACTCGACTCAAGTCCTTAGATCTGTCAAGGAATTCTCTTATGACTACTGAGGTAATAATTATGATTTGTTGGCAAAATCCTTTAGCTTTTTAAAAATGGAAGCTGTTATGTCTTATAGGTAATTTGAAAAGAAAATAAAAAGTAGTGTTCTTGACAACTGGTAATTTTTTTGATTTTGTTGAAAATTATTTGCCAAAGGTGCAGTGAATATTCATTTGGTGAATAATACTCCAGATGAAGTCAAGGGACTATTTTACAATATTCACCAAGCCTGAGGCAAATAATTGTCTTAATTGCTTGAGTGCCTTTAAATTCTGTCATAAATATTTCTTTTAATATTGAAACTATTCTGTTTCAATTGTTTTGGTCACTCATATTGAGATTAAGAGACAGTTTCCCCCTAGAGTTTCACAGGTTCATTTAATTCAATCAGCAAAAACTTCATAACCTTCTTTTAAAAAGGGTTACTCCAAACTTTATAGCACCTTTTGTGCTCTTTGGAATTGAGTTTTCTTTATAGCCTTCATCACTTCCTTGTAAACACTGGTAAACATTAGGCAGAAATTTTGAAATTTACCTCTCCTGCTATAATCTCCTCACACAAGGTGATTATAGCGAGATATGATGCAACTGATTCTTTCTTAAAGTTCACACGGCAACCAGGTGGACAATCAGACATAGTTTGATGCTACTCTGGTTTGCAGATTTAATGAATGTAACTGAAGAAGTTACAATTCATAGACCCAACGTTTCGACATTCCTGTCTAGTGCCTTAAATTATAAATTTATAAAACTTGAGCTTGGAGTCAGTTATAATTCACTTTCATCAGTAATGATTTCCTATTCTCAGGGTTATACTGTTAAAAAATTTTATTCCCTTCTTGTTTTGTGAATAACAGGGTCTGGAGAATCAACAAACACTGGAGTCACTTAACCTGTATCCTTCCTCGTGTTTTCAGCGAGACAGTTAACTGGATTACTGTAGAGATTTTCAGGACTGTAGTATACTTCTGCTATTTGACTCTTCCATATAAGAAAATACCGGAAAAACAACCAAGATGTCATAACAAACTAGACTTAAAATATTCACCCAACAAACAACTCATCCCTTTCATATCACAATGACTCCCACTCAGATCTTTGAATGTAACCTATTTTAAGTAACTACCCCCACCAAGTAAATGAGAATACATGTTCAAAACAATTACTGTTCAAAGATATGTACTACTTAAAATTAATCTATACAGACATTGAGTCCCAGTTTGCATGAAACGTTTTGCTGCAAAACTTCACAACTAAAAGAACATTTGAAATTACTGTTCATAACTGAAAAGGACTGAGTGTCACATAAAAAACTCAAGGATAAGCATTGATGATGAACTCCATAGAACTAAATACAATACATATAGAAGAGTATTGTTAATGTAGTGCTCAATTTTCCTTTAATGATTTGTGGGGAAAAGCAAGTCAAAGGTCATATAGACAAGTTGTTTAATAATTAAGACAAACACAAAAAACAAGTAGTTAAATGGAATGAAAGTTAAAATGTACTTTCAAATGTACTTTCCATGTTTGAAAATTACAACAATTTATCCACAGCAATTTGGGAAACTCATTCCCCAGTTCAAACTTGATGCATTAAAAAAAGAAGAATGAATTCTTATTGAGTCATTTCTTCTGAATTCATTATGGATATCAGTTTTTTTTTCAGGCTTTGATATTCACTGAGCCTGAGGCAAAAAGTTTTTATTTTATTTAATTTAATTACCTCAGATTATAAAATTGAAACAAAAATTTCCTATTTCTTTCAATGTTGTGTACATATAAATCACTCACATTTCATTGATCTTTGATCATTACCATTACACCATTATATTATGATAATTATTGTTTTTGATGTTGTAATCTTAACATAAATCAATAACAGATACTATAATAACATTTCAACTTTGAAGGATTTACATGGGTTAAGGAATTTGACAAATCTAAAGGTAAATAAAACTGATGTTGCAATATTTAGTGTGCAGTTGTGGCAATAGTCCATTTTACAGCTGTGCACTTGGTTGCCAAGCCTTTGAACAGGAATGAGGCTAAGGGTGACCTTGTTATGATACAAAACCTTGCTGCTTTTCAAATGCAAATTACTTTGTTATCATGCTAACTAGATACTGGTCTCTATCACAACAAGGTCACCTTCAGCCTCACTCCAAATCAAAGGCTTGGCAACTAAATACACAACTATAAAATGGCTTATTAATGCATAGGACCCGCTATTGTTAGACAAAGAAATGGAATGAGATAATTTCTGAGAAAATTTGTTAGATAACTCCCTTTGTATTTAATTTCTCTTATGTATACAGTAATACTGCTGAATCATTCATGAATAAAGGAAATGTTTGCCAACTCAAGATGCTTTGATTGTCAAACAAATGCTCCTTGTCTTTACCAAAAGGAAAAGTATAAAGAGGAGTATGCAGAAGATGGATTGATAATGATGCTTGGGCATAAAGGTTCAATAACATGTGTACTGAGTTGAAAAAATTTTTACTGAATGCTGTATAATGCAGCATAGTGAGTGTAGCATTTTACCACCAACAATTCTGTGATTTTAAATATATTATATTGTAATTACAGTCTAGCTCAAAGATGAGGGGACCGATGCAGTTAAACTTGTAGACAACAAGTCTAAGACTAAACACCAAAGATCAAACATCTTGACAGACAAACCAGATGCATCTAACACTATACATGTCTGCCTAATTACTATGTATAAGCTAGCTGATTGTTTCTCTATTGTGAAAGGGTCATTTTTGTTATTTCAATGGGCATTGTATTTGCAGTAAAAACTGTTGGTTAAACTGCACTAAATACCTGTTAATCTTCTTGTGTTTCTTATAGCTGTGTTTATTTAACATTCACCACTGTCAGTGGTCTTGTTAACTTCACACAGTTTCGGCTCACTAGCAAATTTTATCAAGGTTTGCTCATCAAATAATGCAGTACCTTTGGGTTGCATCATACTTTAAAAAGAAAATATGTCTCTTAAGCAGATCATTTTGTGCCTAACCATCCTAGATAAAGAAAGAAATGTCTGCTACATAAGATACTTTGTTTTTGCTCATGATCTAATATCCACACCAAATTCTTGTTTTCCCTTATTTCAAAGGACTTAGATCTGCGGTTGAACCCAGTCACCAAAAATGAACCTGATTACCGTCTGTTCCTTGTCCACATGTTGCCAAATCTACGGCGACTTGGTAAGAAGAGGCATCTTTTTTTCAATTGATTAGCTGATATTGATATATCCTTAATAGGCCATTTTGTGTACTTAGCTGAAGAATTTTATCTGTGACAGGATAGCTTTTGTAGAGTTTTGAAATAATTGTTCTTTTAAGCCAGCTAAATATGCGTCAAGCGATTCTCTGCTTTTCTGCACAATGAGAGTGCATTATCAATGTTGCAAGAGCTATAACTTGTCCATCAGTTGGCAATGAACAAGAGTAACTTGGAGTCAACCCAGCAGGATTGAGATGAAAATGTTCACTACAGTGAGATGGCAGATGAACAATAGCAGCAGGATGGCAGGATTGGAACAGTGTACTTTAGACCTTTGAGATAGTGAGTTGAATGTGTAACAGGATGCAGTGGTCGAGCTGGTAGGGAATAAGGGGGATTAAACTGAGGACATTCAAAAGTGCTGTGAAACCACATTAGGGGGCTCTGTGAAACCAAATTCGTGGGTGTTGTGAAACCACATTCAAACTTACACGTGTAACTGTAAAGGCATTCCTAAGTGATATCATAAGCTTGCTAAATCATAACAGAAAATTCCTTATTACAAAACAAAATAGTAAAAACTACATTCTGCTCCAATGAGTGGTGCCAGCATAAATTCAATGGTAAGCCCTGGTTGACTGTCTTCATCAGAAGGGTCTGCATGTTGAGTTGGAAGAACTTACTGTCTCCTTGGTCTTGCAGGTGTACTCTGCAATAAAGATAAGGGGCACACCTGTAATTCAGCTTGATTTACCACCTTGGTGCTACCTTGTCCACCAGCTGGCCCAATCTCTTAGGCCCCATTGTTCAACTGCTGAACCACTTTATGCACTCTATAGTTCCATCAGTCCTGTATCTTGTTCCTTCCTCATCTTCATCAGTCTCTGACGAGTACTAGCTGTCCAACCTGTAAGCGTAATGGTTTGGTTCTGCTGTTGTTGTCATATTACAGCTTACATAGCTCTAACTTCTTCATCAGTCTCTCTGCTGCTCTTTGGTGTGCATTTCTGAGCTCTGTTTGGTGTCTGGTGATCTGGGCAGTTTGCTCTTGACTTTAAACATTGTCCAGGTCCACCAGTCGCTCAACTGGGAGTCACAGGTCTCTCCCAAACATCAAATAGAATGGCAAGTACCCACTTTTAGTGTGCAGTGTTGGGTTGTAGGCATAGCAAAGTTCTCTCAGGTGCTCAAGCCATCTCCTCTTCCTCTATGCAGGTAGAGTTTGTAACAGCCTGTGCAGGGTACAATAGAACCTTTGGCGCTGGCCATCGCCTCCTGGATGATATGGCGTGGTACAGGACTTCTTGATACCGTTGATAGTGCATAGCACTCTAATGACATCAGCTTCAAAAGATCTACCTTGGTGCTAGGAGATTCCCTGTGGCACTCCATACACCAAGAACCATTCTTGGACTAAGGCTTTGGCCACAGTAAGCACTTTCTGATCTCTGGTTGGGATGGCTACAATAATTTGGTGAAAACATCAGGCATCATTAGCAAATTCTGCAGGCACCAGTTGGATAAAATCCATCTCCAGAACTTCAAGTGGTTTGGTTGCTACAATACTGCCTATGGGAGATCTGGCTGTTAGTTAGGGCCCTTTTGCTATTACAAACCATTCACACTCTGAAACCCATTGTACATTCCTGGCCACCAGCAATGCTGTTGCATGACTTTTTTGGTTCTCTCTGGTCCTTGGTGTCCAAAGTTAGTGTAAGCTGCCTTCAGGACCTCACCATGCAGGCTGCTTGGCACTGCCAGGAGCTGTTTCACATGGCCATCATTGTCATGCAGGTTCTGAGGTAGTACACCACCTCTCTCTGCAATGCTGTCCAGGTGGCTGACTAAATGTAAGGTTTCTCGCTCACTAGTCACTAGTTTCTCAGGTCTCTTGTTTATGTTCTGTTCAGTTGGGCTTTTTCCCCAGGTTCAGGTAATACTTCAGTCTTGCTAATGTAGCATCTTTATAAAGCAGTGCAGTGAACTGATCCCTTGGGATGGTTGGGAGAGAGGTTGCTTGTTCATTGCACTTGTCTGCAGGTCTTGTCACTCCCAGCTCTTTTAAAGGAAGGCCATCCTCCAGAATCCCAGTTGCATTGTCTCAGGAATTGTGGTGATATTCGCTGCAGTAGCTCACATCTCAGCAACACAGGTTGTATTTTCTTTAGTGTGATCTCCAGGTTATGGAACTTGATCTTGAAATCAAAGCTTGCTTGTTCAGCTGCCTAGCATTGTTCATCTGCTTTGAACTTGCTTTTGGACTGCAGGTAGGTCAGTGGGTTGTTATTGATGTCAACCACTAACTTGGATCCTAGCAGATACTCTCTTAACTTTTCTGTTACAGCACACTTTAGTGATAGAAGCTCCAACTTCATAGATGAGTAGTTCTGCATATTCCATTTGGCTCCATGTAAGCCTTGGCTAGCATAAATGATGACCCTGGGCTTACCATCCTGTTTGTGGGATAGCACAACAAAACATGGCCTGGAAGCATCCACCAATGTGGTCCTGACTTAGAATCCTCTTTTAAGGGGGTGCTGAGCGGTTCCACTACTGCACTTGTGCCAAAGGCTAAACCAGTCACATCAATGTTTGATGCTGAGTGTGGTGGGACCCAAACGGCACTGTTGCCAGCAACCTTCACTAGCTTCCACTTGCCCGCTTTTATGGTCACAATTCCACGAGGTAGCTGCAGCTCTCTTCATCTTCAGCAGCTCTGCCCACGTCAAAATTTTTACAAGTACATTCATCCTCACGATGCTAGGCATCCTCTTCCTATACTGAACAGTGGCCTCTGTGTCTTTGAGGACCAGCACTCTGCAATCAGGAACTATCACACCTTCTACTTGCACTTCCAGCTCTAGGTAACCAAGATATGGGATCTCAAGGCTGTTTGCTCCTAGGAGAGTAAACATCTTTCCCTTGCCTTGAGCTCTACTGCATATAGCCTTGAGTTTCTCCTCAAAGAAATTTTCTGATACCAGGATTACCATGGAGCTAGTGTGGACCAGGCACTTGACCTCCAAAGTTCTGTGTCCCACCAAAAATCCTGGGAAGGGGTGAGCCACTGTTGATCTCCTCCACCACTGGACTCACTGTGATGGAGTTGTTCCATTTCCCATAGGCTTCTTTTGAGTTGGTTGCACCCCTTAACTGCTCACTGGTCCTGGATACATGCAGTCACAAACAAAGTGACCATCCTGGCCACACTGGAAACAACAGGTAGGTCATTTTTTCAGTACCAAGGTTGCTAGCAGGAGGTTTAGGGTGTCCTGTAGGTAGTTGAGCACCTGCTGCTGCCAGTTGATGTAGGGCGTCAGAGTCTCTTACTGTTTCTTCATCTCTTCTGCAAGTATATTCTGCCCAGAGATAAGGTCAGACAGGAATTTGGGTTGTTTCCCTAGGCCAGCCACTTTGCTACTCACCAGCTCATCTTCTACTTCACCAACTGTCACCAACTGCCTGGGAATGTGATCCTCCTCCAAGTACATGTGAACCTCAAGGTGGACACAAATTGGAATGTGGATTCTGGCAGGTCCCTGGTCCAGCACTTGACATTGCAACACAAATTGACATCCCCTAAGTTCTCCACAAATTGTTCCTTCAACAGGGTGTCCTTGTCGGGCTCTGACCCTCCATTTAGACACTTGATCCCGGAGAGGAGGACCATGACCCTTGGCACTTGGCAAAGAACTACTATTTGGCCTGGGTTACAGTAAGCTGTTCATCAAAGGCCTCTGGTGGGGATGGACCTCTGTGGGGTTGGCCTCAGCCTGACTTCTTCTTTTGCCACAACCTTACCGTGACAAATTAGGGTATCAACTGCCTCAGCTTCTGTTTGACCTCTGATAGCCCTCTTGGGAAGATATCATATTTCACAAATGAAAGAAATTGGGATATTTCATTCACACCAGCATGTAGTAATGGAAATTAGTATTAAAGCAATTAGAATGCATTGTTTTATATACTTAGAAATATTCTTATTTACATCATTTCTCCTTGGTATTTTAGATGATAGATCTGTGAGGGATAGCGAAAGAAGAGCAGCCATAATGCACTTTACATCTGATCAGGTATTCCCAAACAATACATTTACAACAATATTCACATAAATTATTATGTCTTAAGTCCACAAAGACTACTTTAAATGATTTGATTTTGAAACCATGCAGTATGAATGCCTGTGAATGTAACTGTCACATTGCGTATTCTCACCAACAAGTTTTCTGTAGCTCTACTGTCAGAGCATCTCTCTGTGAACTCAGATCTTAGTTAGGAATACTCAGAATAATAGGACACTCAGATTTTTCTTGGTCCCTTGCTCATGAGAAATTTTTTCCATCTTCTTTAGAATATTTAAACACACCAACTGTTTTCCCCTAGGTAGGGGTTAATCCTAAGAGTACTTTATTTGCATTCAGACACTTAGTTTGTTATGCATAATCAAGTTTTTTAGTATTACTATTATATTACTAGACTAAAGGAACTCTATTGAAAGTGATTTTGATGTAATTAAATATGCCTCTTCATCTTAAGGCATCAGAATTTGATCGCCATTCTTCACCAAAATCTGAAAGACCTTCAGAGAGGTACCTAACAATATAATTGCATTTTAATCTTGAATTTTCTTTTATTTAGTCTTCTAAGTTTTTGCATGAATTTTACTTTTAAAGTGGTCATGTTTTATACCCCCATTTGCAATCCCTGTCAGTGGCTATTTGTTAATGACAACTTTAAACATAATTGTTGAAGGACATCATTGTCCCAGAGACAATCTTTTGTTGATGTTATGGAAAGTTTACTGACTTATTAGTGTTGGAAATTGTCCCCTCTCAGATTTAGAATATATATGGAATTGTAACTGACCATTTTTTCTTTTTTCATTTCCCAGGGTACCCTTGCCTAGATCTGATATGATTCATAAGCTTGCTCCTTGTCCATCAGGTACAATCTATCCTCATTGATTGACTTAGATTTAATCAATCTGGTCAATCAGCAAGTGCAGAATATTCAATAAGTCTTATCAGAAAAGGTGCTGTGAAGTCTGCCCTCAAGCCACAAAGCCCACAATGCTAGAGCTTATGAACATTTCCCTGATACAGATCCCAGTATTGAATAAGTTTTCTCTTCAAGCTCTGTAGCACTCATTTCATTTCCTGGGTGGAGAGAGACTCTGAGATTCAAGCATTTTTCCCAAGAACACAATGGTGAGGCCTGGTGAGGGCCAGGAGTTTGAATGTAGACTTTTTGCTCCTGAAATCTTGTACCTGTTCCCTTCAAACCAAGGCTTCTAGTTGGAACCTTAGCTACCCTACAAAAGAATCTGTTTCAGTTTCATCTTTCCTATTAAAATGTTATTTGGCATTTGAGAGTCCCTTTTCCTCAAAATGGTGTGTTCATTGAAAACTGCAGCCTGGTTATAGCTCAGGTTGTAGGTTCAATCCCTAGATTGAATCAACACTCAGGGTCTTAACACATCTGAGGAGAATGTGCTGACTTTGCTATAACATCTGCAAATCTCAAATGATGGCGATATAACTTAGCCCCTGCTGTTGAGGTCTGGCCATGTTTCAAAATAATTGGGGGTTCCTATAAAATTTCCTTTTGTGTTTACCTCTGTGGGCACAACATCCTCTGACGAATATTTCATTATTTTAAGTGCTAGAGGAAGACGATGTGGCAGTCCTTGATCTTATCACACGCACTGGTGGAGACTTAAAACAGCCAAAAGCGATCTCTGGCTCAGCAGCTAGGGTACCTGATACTGAAGATTATACTAGAGATGGTTGGTTGGTTTCCAAATAACAATGTCAATTAGGTCAATGCCTGATAATATTTGCAAAAATGTTGGTTTCACAAAGGTCAGTAAAAACCTGGAAAATCATGAAATCAGAGTGAGATTAATGGAGAATTTTGAAAGTGGCTGAAAATTGCAATGAAAGTAAATGCAATACAGTCTGAATAAGCACCATATGAAACACCCCAATAGCCCAACAGGGAAGTGACAAACAATTTCAAGTCTTCATGTTCATATTTGTGTTTCAAATGGTTTTTAATGTAGGAAAATGACACATTGCAAATAAATTTGTCTTATGGGATGCATAAAAGTTTGTTTGAGATGAAAATGTTAAGATAATCTGGGCTGTACTTTCAAATTAAACAACTGCTGGCAATTTGTATTTAAGTTCTAGTTTAATGTAAATGTAATTTAGGACAGCTGTAAAATTTTGACCCCTTTGCTATGACTCTTTCCCAGTTTCTCGTTACTTTGACTTAGCTTCAATCCATGGTTACCATCAATTTCTTTTTGAGCTCACTCAGTCAAGGTAACTGTTACTTAAAATCATCATGATACAAGTCCACATCAACCATGTGACTGCATAGGGTAGTTTACCTCTGATGCAAAAAATTGTTTACAAGGGAAGTTGTGCAATTTTTTTATACTGGGTAATAGTGTGGCACAATTGTAAATTTTTAAATATCATTTTTTAGAAACAATTTTAAAAAACAGATCTTGTATTTCAATCTGCTCATTTTTCTCTATTTCAATCTGTAGAACTCCACAAGATGCTTCCATCAATGGCAGGACCTACTAGACACAAGACAGATCTAAGAGACTCTTCTCAGGATTATAGACCACACAAGGATAGAGTGTATGTTCACTTTGCAGATGATAAAATGAGACCAGCTGATGATCCAAATCTAAGATACACAGATGAAACAAATGCTTACACAACAATATCTACAAGAGGACATTTCACACCAAATCCAAGAGCAACAAATCATAATACAACCCTAGAAGACCCTATATCTGACAGGTCTGTCAAGGGTGACTTTCCCAGATCACAAGAAAGAGGACAAGATGTGAGTATACCATTGTCAGCAAGGTCATATGAACTGTCACCCTCTAGAAGACTACAACCATCTCCTAAACAATCTCAAGGACCTCTTGCGGACAAGTTGGGTCCAGGAGATGATATAAGCAACAAAAGAGAGATGCCAACACATGACTCTTTTGCAAACTCAACAAAAATGGTAAGTGTTGTACTAATAGTAGCATGGGTTCGTTGCATACAGAAACCATGTTGTTTTTATTCTCAAATTCCATCTTCAAATGTTTTCCTACATAAACATTTTTCCAACAAGTATGAGTAAATAGTAAACTGGTTTCAATTTGAAAATTTTTTATGAGGGAAAACATCTGAACCACAACATGTACATTAGATTGATGAAGATGGCCTATGTTGGGCACATACCAGACTGCTCAGTTTAAAAATTTACAAGTGTTTATTACTCATAAAGGTCTCTTTAATGCGCGTAAAATACTATGACATGGAATTCAGTAAAGGAATTTACTCAGTATAGAACTGACAGAATATATCTATACTGCAGTTCTTATCACTAACAGAATGGTGTGTTCAGATTACCATGCTTAATTTGGAAGGAGCAGTACCACATGCTTACTTTTACTTTTTTTTTTGTATGGGCCAGCCCTATACAATGGAGGAAGTTTATAAAGTCTTTGTTCCTTTCATTTTAATTAACATATGAGCACAGATCTGTAGATTTGTCTGAAGGAGATATTTATCTAAGGAACTTTTTAGGGGATAAATTGATGTTTAAAGTTGTAAAAACTTGCTGTACAAGGGTCTTGAGATACACTGTAAGTACTATGATCACCGCATATAAGACATGGGCCCTTTGAATACCAATATTACAATGTATTTTAATAACTGAATCATTTCTCTCATAACATGTGTCCCACAGATTTAACTGTTTTAGTGTTGAAGTTAATCACTGAGCATGTACCTAAATTGTCAATACACAGTGTTCTGTCAGTGGCATTCTTCTGCTGTGTAACTGCTTTTAGGTGACAACTACATAATTTTTATAATGGATATCCTTACTCTCTTTGATTTTTACAGGATATTACGGACTCATCAGGGTCTTTAGATCAAGAAGAACTCTTAAACAAACTTCTTGACTTAGTGGACAAGTAAGGGTTACAGCCTATGACAATTTTATTTGAGGCATATTGCCTTTATTTTGTGAGGGAAGCAACCTCAAGGATTGGGTGAAATGGTAATCTTGCAGGATTCCTTTGCATTATATGTGATTAAGTACTTTTTCCATGTTTACATACATTTAGTTAGCCCCACCTAAAGACATATTGAAAGGGGGAGGGAGGGTGGCAGAAATCTTAAAAGTTATGAAAGTTAGAGGTTGCATAACTTTACTTAATTCTTCCAACCACCCCTGTGTTTAGATGATGCTATGTAAACACATAATTTAAACTACTCTTTTGGTTATGAGTAGCACCCATTAGTTTTATATTATGTGAGACAGTGTAGGTAATTTGTTATATTTTCACTGTTTACACAGGTACTGGAATGGATCCAAATCACTTCATCATCATTCAAAGTTTCAGAGTGAGTTCAACACTAAAGAAGACTTAACATTTGTGTTGGTATTATAGTTCTCACCAGAGGAAACAAGTAATGGGTATAATTTAAAGATAAAATCATTTTCTTGAATATCCAAGGGAAAGAAAAACTAACAATTAAGAATTAGTTCAAAGGTTGTCAAATGCAGAGTTTTCCTATAAACAGAAATTGAGTCTCATTAAAACCTAGAAACATATTAAAAAGCCAAAAGCTAGCCTGCAGTGTTGATTACTCTGCACGGTTTTACTGCTAGTTGTTGGCTTAAGTGTATTATGAGAGAATTATAGTGTATCAATGACAAAATGTTCATTGAATGTTTTTGTTGCAAAATTTTCTCAGTCTCTACCTTTCTTGCAATTTGCAGGTCTTGCTCAAAAACTTCTTTCTTCCTACTTACCACCTTCCATGGAAAGAGCTCATTTGACACTGTCACATGATAATGATAAAGTACAAAAAGAACTGAAGGAAAGAACAGCAGAAATATCAAGACTACGTGACCAAATGTCACAACAACAGACTGACATGGAACAATTACATAACAAGCTAAAAAGCCACCAAGGATTAAAGGATTCACTTGATGCTGCCTCATACGAACTGGTTTGTTTGTTGTCTATTTTGTTGGGAATGCTTACTCTGTAATAATTTATCTATAAACTGCAGCAATGAATTACATTGGAGTGTTACAAATAAACTGTGAATATACTTGGTTTCAAGTTATAATTACAATTTGTGATTTGTATAGATTACTTGAGCCACTTCCTCAACAAATAAGATAGAAAACATTTAAGTTTGTCTCTCCAGCACTTATTAAGTGAGTACATATTTACAAAAAAAAATTAAAACTTTTATCATGTTAATCTTTTTTTGGTTCCAAATGAAAACTTCAGTGTACTATATTAGGGCCCATAGCCTTGAATAAAAAGTATCTGGCAAAGATTCTTAAATTTCACTTTCTGTTTAGGCCTCTGTGAGATCAAGACTTCTAGAGTTTCAGGAGGAGAATAGTGCCCTACAATCTAAAATAACTGCCCTAGAGGTTGCCTCACATGGTGCTTCAGAGCAAGAAAAACTTATAGGTAATGTAAGAATCTCTTTGTAACCTCTTGATACATACTGACAATAAACTGCAATCATTATCTCATATATGGTATACATCAGTAATGTAATGCTTTCAAGTGAAAGAGTACAATTTGGTATAAGCATGTCTCCCAATAAATGCAAACTCTGATGTTCATGGCCACAGCTGCAGCTGTGTTTCATTGTGTTACCATCAGTCTTAAATAGAGGGGCATCTTACCACAAACAAACTTGATCAAGCCCTCCAATCACTACTAAGCAGACTACTACCAATCTACAACTGTATACAAAGCTTTGTAGGTGATTTTCTGCTACTTGAGGGGATTTTATGTAATAACAGCCACCTTGATTTGAAGAAAGTTATTTAAATCCCTTCGTATCCTCCACTGATAATTTACTGTTTGCTTACTCAGTAAGCAAGCAGTAGTTTCTCCTAACAATGTCCATATATTTTCAAACAAGAATAGAGAAAAAATATCAACAAATGAAAATTGTTTGATTTGACACAAAATTCTCAGAACTGAAGTAATGAGAAATGTATAGCAGACAGTAAGGAAGATTTATAGGTAAATCTTGGGAGTGAAAAGTTAGGGAGAATACTTCCAGGTAACAATTATAAATTGTCATCATATGTAAATGCATGCTTCTTTCTGGGGTCAACCATGTCATGATGCAATCCTGCTTTCAATCACCTGCAATCCAGAACCTGACTGAATAGTTCACCATGCTTGTCCCTCATGTATTATCAAAGCAAAGGAGAAAGAATCAGTTCCAGAGCTGTCACAAAATGTTCTTGACCATTAACAACAGATATAAAGAGACACTATGCTGCTTTAAGAAGCCAACTACTCTAACTACACCAGATACATACATCTTTTAATAGATAAGCACTTGTGGCTGCATGTCAAGTTTTTCCTCTATCAGCAACAAGCAAATTGGTTTATGACCAACTGATGAGGAAGCTTAAATGGATTTGACATGATATTGTTTCTCCAATAGGTGAGCTTCAACAAAGAAATCTTTCACTTCAGGAACAAGTTAAATCTCTTAGCCAACAAGTTCAACAACAAAATGTTAATCTGGAGCAATTACAGGAGCTCACAAACATGCTACAAGAGAGCCACAGGTACAGCACACTTGTGAAATTGATCAACTCAAGATATATTTGTTGCAGAAAGTGAATGAATTTCTTAGTGCAAATCACCTTGGAAAAATGTTAGGGCAGTACTTTTTGCTGGCTGTACCAATGAAAAAAAAGAAAACACTACCCCACAGTGAATGCTGGTCATTGTGCATGTAGAGGAGGAGGTTGACACCCCGTCTGATGTCACCATCTTTGTTCATTCTTTTCTGTTCTGGTCTGAACTCTGTCTCTACATTAATCTTCTAATCCCAAAGAGTGGGTAGAATCTAATTTTCCTTTCACAAGCTTTGATGAATCAAATTCTAAGGTCAAGAGAATAAAGGAAATGATCACCACCTTAAGAAGCTCTTGATTGTAAAACAAATTCTCACAGTCATTTTTTCTAGGAAATGTAAAGAGAAAAGTATGGATAATATGTATACTATTGTTAGGGTGTAAAGAGTTTGGAGAAAAATTGACTGCAAGCAGTCAAAGAAATTAGAAATCTTGATTAAAAAAAAATCTCTCAAAAGTAATTCTCCTTACTTTCTGCTATAAACTTCTTATGATGTTGATTTGGAGAATTTGGTTTTTTTCCTATCACTTGTCTGCTTGATATTGTATTGAATGGGATATTGTATTGTATTGACATTGTGAGGAGATATTCTTTCTTGGCCATTGGAGTTAAAGGGCTAAATGCATCTTTAAGAAGCTCTCTGTCTAAAAGGTACAAATGCTAAATTTGTATACACCACTGAACATTGCAATTTTTTATCCTTACCACAGTATACACAGCCATTTCCACTTGGATGAGTTAATGTAAAGGTGTTAACTGACAAATTGAAAATGGGCCATGGGTTCATGATCTGAGTCAAGTTTGTTAAAGTATTTCTTCTTCTTTTGATTCACCCAGATCACTAGTATCTACAAATGACCATTTGCTGCGGGAACTGGATGAGGCACGGCAGCGCCATCAACATGAAGTTCACCAGATGCACTGGAGCTATGATAATCTTAAAAAGACTATCGACTGGTTACCAAATAGTGTCAAGTAACATTAAGACAATCACTGGAGCCTATTGTTCTACAACAGATATCTCTTCCTTAGATAACCTTCATATAGAAACTAAGATGTTTGCTTGCAAAATAACATATTTAATGAAGTGAAGAAATATTACATAGCATTTTAATGTGAAGTTCATGTGTCAATTTTTGCTTAGTATTTCTAAATGAGTGTCTAAAACTTTATGAAGACCCTATGAACTGTAACTTGTAATGAAAGTCTAAACTCATGTCCTAAATTAAAAGCTTGAAATGTAAAACTTTTTCATTACAATTCTATTTGATTTTACAGGACTTCATATTTTCAGGCATTATGTGCATGTCAAGTTAGTAAACACTCCATTATTATAATCACTGTCTTTGTATCTTTCTGTGCCTGGGGGCTGTACATACCTACACACATTAATTTTTATTTATTATTTCCAATCATCAGTAGGTCAGCCTGATTCTCAGATGCTAGTTTGCCATCCCTGCTTGTAAAACAATCATGTCAAACCAGTGTGTATGCATACAGCATATTACAATAAAGTTTTGAACTGATCAAAAAATTGTATACAGGGAAGATGTTTGGTCATGATAACTTATTTCTTAGTTTCATTTGTTTTTCTTTATAAGGATCACTCCAGTCAGTTGTCACAACATATTTATTTGCTAAAGCACCCAACCTTGAGAGAGCACTACCCTTTTGGAAGAAAGAGTTTATAGGCATCCAGCCTAGACAGGAGTTTGGTTTCATTCTGTTGGAACAACTCACATGCAATGGTGTGGGTTATTTGCATCACTCATTCTTAGACTCCTTGGTCTGGTTGTCACTCAGGGAGATTCCACCAGACTGTCACCCACAACTCTTGGATGTACTTATGTCTAATTTAGTGGATAGTGTTCACACTACAGCTGCTAAAAGTATTGGTGAGGATTCAAAGTATTTTCTGTTTACAATGTTAATGGCTTTAGGCCCCCAAATGTGTGATGAAGCAACCAAAATATAGAAACTTGCTCAAGACTTCAGTTTTGATTTCTTTTGGTTTCTATTCAAAAACTTTTTTTCCAAGATTTGAAGCCCCCTCTGTTATTTCTTCTCCCCTCACACAATGACACAAATTAAACATTTAAACTGGGGAGCTGATAACCAACCATGCTTGTTACTTTTTTTTATAGTTTTGATACAAGGTAGTGGGGAACAATTTATCACATCCTTATGAACATTTTAATTAGAAACTCTGCTTCAAACTGCATGTACGATCTGTTCACTTTATTTGCTGCTTTTATTTAAAATTTTTAATGAATAAAAATTTCCAAAGTCACTGTCCAACATTGCAAATAAAATAAGTTACCAACTACTGAATAATTTCACATAACCACTGAAGTTACCAACCACTGAATAATTGCACACAACCTACCATGATTGTACTACTTTTTTGTCGTTTTGATACAAGGTAGTATGCAACAATTTATCACATCCTTATGAGCATTTAAATTAGAAACTCTTCTTCAAACTGCATGTAAGATCTGTTAACTTCATTTGCTACTTTGATTTAAAATTTATATTATTAAAAATTGCCATGGTTGTTGCCCTATATTGCCAATAAATTAAGCTCCCAACTACCGAATAATTTCACATGGTTAATTAGAGAAGACCCTGTCAGTAAGGCTAATCCAAACAAATTAATCTGATCACTCCAGTGGTAACACACAATCCTGATAAAATATCAATGTTTCTACGTTGTTTACATTTTATAATGTCAAACATAAACTTCTAAAAGTGAATCAAGCACACACACTATGGTATAAAAGAGCCTGTGTTACAACTTCTGCTCTAATGTTTCTTATCATAAGTATCTTTTCCTTTATAACCCCCTACATAGCCTTCAGCAGCTTTTTCATCCCTGTCTACGCGACCCTCTATTCCCTTGCCTTTTCCACCCTCATCAAAACGTTCTTTGTGCGATCCAGTGTATTTTGAGGTGTCAGTCATTCTATCAACTCCACCTGTCTTACTTTGTTTCTGCAAACAACCCAATAACAGAACGCAAGTTAGTTATTTAAAAAGGAGTTGATATTTGCAGTCTGGTTATCAGGGTCTTGAGCCCTTCCCTATTCAACCTCTTGCATAGGGTATCTTGGTGAACCAGAAGCCTTGAAAAGGGTGTAAACCTGGAGGCTTGCAGTCATCTCCATTTCCAACAAAAGTTTGGTTTTGGGCAACTTTTGAAATCCAATTCCAAACATTCTGTGTGGTTAGTGGGAGTAGCACACTGAATGAAATACTTGAAATACTTTCAATGCTAGGCTTTAAAATCCTTAGCAGCAGAACGCTAGATAAAATTTCCCATAAGTGGTGTGCCACCCCCCATCAAAGCATCAAAAACCGTTTGGTATAGGATTTTTCAAAAATACAAGGAGAAAATTATTTTGCATCTCTTCAACCTTGAAAGATTCTTGAAACCGAAACCATCCATGGTTCGCTCCTCAAGAAAAGTTTGGCAAATATTTACAAACGACAATGATAGCCTTTTCAAGTCTGACAACGATAATTCTTGGAGATGTAGAGCTACATCAATACAAATATTACTAACGATTTGAGGAAAATTTTCAATATGATCGAAATATTGATATAGATTCTCATATGTAAGTTTCTTTAAGTATCAGCTATCCATATTGGTTAAATAGTACATTGTAACCCAGGAATTTGAATTAATTATGATTACTTGAGGACATAAAGAAACCAATCGAGAACGTTCGATGGAAATCCGAGGGCGCTTACTAACATAATCATTATTGACGCGACTAGAGAAGAAAATGGTTATTTCACTTTATAACCTACGTAAGGAGCACGAGGAAGGGGATGACAGAAATATCTTGTGATGTATAGTTCAAAAAGAAAATAAGTTATCACAATTAGTCTCGTACCTGAATTAAGTAAATTACAAAACCGTATCTGTTGATAAATAAAACAATTCACATTATCTTACCGTAGCTCCGACGGTTGCTGGACCTTTTCCACCGCAAATCTTGTCGATCAACTTCTGCACATCGTCTTTGTTTCCATACTTCTTCTCTGCACACAATTCCAGAGCTTTCTTGAAACCTTCAAAGCGAATTTTCCGCTCCGTCTTGCTGCAAGAGGATAGTTAAATGTTAACAAAAGCAAGAAGTGACATATTTTTTTGTTGAAAAAAAGGGTGGACTTCGTTCTTACTTTTTTACTTCGGGTCGGTTGAAAATAATATCTGTGTCTGTGGAGGTGAATTTTTTGTCGTATAATTTTAGATCACGAAAAAGTTTTGCAAATTTCGCGTTGTCCATCTCAGGTTGAGCGTCTTTACTCCCTGCCCCAAAAGCACAGAAAGATTTAAACACCGTCTTTAGTTCTTCGTCGGACATTTTTCGTTTACGTTTAGCAATGAAAGGAAAAATCAAGAAGAGGTTCCTCCCAGGAAATACTGCTGGATTAGGTAGTCTTGTGAAAGCAAGCAGCTGGTGAGCGTCTCTTTGTACTAAATATTCCCAGGACAACTGAAACGAACAGCAATTGGTCAAAATCTTCGTATGTCACGAAATTACAAAGGTGCCATAGTAACTGTCCCAATTAGTTGACTCAGAAAGGGCATTTTTTTTCTTCGCAAAGACGCACGTCGCAAATACTTGTCACGAAAAATGTACGCGTTTTGTTGTAGTCTTGCATGTCGACAAAAAGGTTTAAATCTTCCATGATTCTTTGAGTCGACTGCTTGCCTTGGAACGGCTCTGAATTTACAATATTCTTAAGCTGTAAACACGGGTTTGTTGACAAAAATACTCAGCTTACTTATGTTAAACTTACCGAAATAAAACACCTAAGCATACCCTGGAGCGAAGAGACAAAGGCAGCTCAGTTTGATGTCTTTAATCCTTTGCGAATCGAAGACACCTTCAGCGATTGTTTTTCACTTTTGTTAATCTACCTTGCTTACCCACTTTAATAACACAATTTTTGTGAAAAGCAAACGAGAAAAAGGAACCAAAAAAGAAAGTCTGAAAGAATCGCTGGCTTCTTAGCTGTGAACTCTCTGACAAGCTGAAACCCTCTCTCTCCAGCTCAGAAAATCACTCCTCTATGCAATAGAAGACTTCTAAATCTCTCTAATAAACACCTTAGTTCTCGTTTGGAACCCACGAAAGCCCTTCCGAAGTTTTAACCTGCTGCAAGGTCCCCTCCCCCACCCCCTAGAAAGAGGGCAAGCATGCAAACTCAATAGCCAGCGGTTTAGCGGAAGAATCAATATGGCGGCTTTACAGGAAAGAAAACTACAAGAAGGTCTTCGGTTGTTAAAAGAGGCTGAAAAATTGTGAGTGATCCCTTTTTTATTGAAAGGATATGATAAACAGGGTGAATTTGTTATTTCTGTGATTTTAGCTTTCACCTTTTTTTCGCTCCCCTAAAATATTGAATTGTCGGAAATGCATCGGTCCAAATATTCATGATTGAGATGGATGGATTTAAGACAAGGAGACGAAAAATATTTTTTCTTGCTCAATTTATAGTCAGTCTAATTTAAAAATAACTAATTCAATTATACCAGAAACCGAGAAAGTCAATTTCAATACCATCAGTTTAAAAATTACAATTAATAAGATATACGCGATCCTCGCAGCTATGAACATTACTGAACTAGTTGTTGAAATGAGACCTGAAGAAAATTCAGGCCCGTACGGGATTTGAACCTATGACCTCTACGATACCGGTGCAGTGCTCTACCAACTGAGCTAACAAGCCAACTGGGAGCTGGTCATAATGTTGGATCCAAATAAACCTTCCAAGTGGTGAATAATGACAGGAAATATATGAAAATCATATATGTGCACTGCAGTGAAGAAATGAGATATAAGCGATCCTCACAGCTATGAACACTTCTGAATTAGTAGTTGAAATGAGACCTGAAAAAAAAAATATATATATATTATTTATATTTCCAGTCATTATTCACCACTTGGAAGGTTTATTTGGATCCAACATTATGACCAGCTCCCAGTTGGCTTGTTAGCTCAGTTGGTAGAGCACTGCACCGGTATTGCAGTGGTCATAGGTTCAAATCCTGTACGGGCTTGAATTTTTTTCAGGTCTCATTTCAACTATTAGTTCAGTAGTGTTCAAAGCTGCAAGGATTGCTTATATCTCATTTCTTCACCGCAGTGTACATATATGATTTTCATATATTTCTAGCCATTAATTATAATTAAGTTGGCAAATTGTTTAGTAAGACTTTGATCATCTTTGCAAAGAGACCGTGGTGCCAACAGGCAAGTAAAACACTTGGTGCATTTGGGAAGCTGCATTTTCACCATTCTGTTTTGCATGGTAACTGTGGTAGTAGAGACTCTTCAACACTCAAGGACCCTTTAATATATTGTCAAATTAGCAATAAAATCTCCTATCCCTACTCTAAGATCTGTAATGGAACAGAAAGAAAGATCTTGTCAACCTAAAATTTCATATCTGGAATATGTTGTAGTGAAAAGACCAGTTGGTTAAAATGGAAACCTGACTGGGACAGTGCAGCAGATAAATACATGAAAGCTGGTGAGTGCTTTTTCTCTTTTGTAGGGTAAACAAGATGATTTTTTTTATCTTAGAATGACAAGGCAGTCTTTCATCTAAGAGGAGTTACAGTCTTTTACATCAACAGTATTGAAGGGTTGAATGACATGCTCTTCTGTAGATGACACTAAGAAATGTTGTTTGTAGCATTCCTTGCCTTTACCTAGCAAAACTACTGGCAAAGGTCTTGAAGACAGTTGATTGAAGAACCAGGTGGAATGATTCCTTGCTTATCCTATTTGTTGTTAAATGAAGCAAGTTCCTAGAGATAAAAAATACAACATTTCTTTATTTAAAGCCATAGTATTTAAAAAATGGCAAGGAGTAAAATTTGCCCAGTATATTGAAATATATCAGTTGTCTCAAGGCTTTTGTCATTAAAAGTTGTTAATCAATGAATTAGTTAGTTTAATCTCATTCATGATTCAATTTATTTTTGATCTTGCCCTAT